GAGGTCCAGTTCAATGTACACTTTGATCAACGTGTGTTACTAGGTTATACTAGTTTCGAAGAATTCCACTTCTCATCAGTAACCCTGAACACAAGTTAACCAAAGAGAGATAAGCTGAACCTATATCATAGTGCAGCTATATAATGTGAAGAACTGAATAGTGGCCAGTGACACTTTTTCTTCACTTCACCTATCTAGTGTATAGGTTTCCTCACAGTGAATACAAAGCACGTTCACACCAATAGTATGTTTAAAATAATACTACTTCCCGAAATTTTAGTCCTAGGTTTGTAATGAAAAACGGTATATGAAATAAAAATAAATTTCACTAACATAAATACTGCCCACATTTATAGGAGTACGTGACCTAGTGGTTAGCGTGCTCAGATCATGAATCTGAAGATTTATGGTTTGTGTCCCGTTGCTGAAAGAACTGCGACCTGCGTTTTTGGGTCTTAGGTGCTCTATAATAGTGACTATAAAATCACATTTTTCGGTCAGGTAAAATTAGCCCAAGAGTTGGCGGTTGATGCTGTTGAATAGGGTTATCAGATTAAGAATACAGTGAGCTCATAAATAATTTTAGTTTACCACAAGCCCTTTTTTATGCTTTAACATTTCCCCTCACAAAACAACCATTTATCAAATATAATGCTTTTAAAATACTACATTTTCCATCTTAAAAAAAACAACGGAAAACAACAACTAGTTGTTTCTTCGAGACTGGGTTAAATATTCAAAGAGATATTCCTAAAAATGTTAAACAGATACATCTTACATACAATTACTCTGTTTTCGTATTTTGTCCATGTTCTTTAGGAATAAGAATTGCATTTTTGAAAACATGTGTCTCAATTATAGATTGTTTGTTTGTTTGAACTTTTCGCACAAGACCGTCCCTAATGTTTGAGCAAATAGAGTAGACGGAAGACATCTACACAGCAGGGCCAAATTAACCAAAAAGGCAGAGTAGGCAGTTGCCTATGAGCTTACGGGGTCAACAGACCCACAGTGATGACGATTTTTCTTTCTTTTTTTTAATAGAACTATCACATATTATTTTCTCACAATCTGAAAATCTGTAAGCGATAGAATGCAAGAGTTGAAAGATGAATAAAACTAACACTAAAGTGTTTCTTCTTGCAATATTTTTAAATTGCTAGCGTGCACTGCAAAGCTGAGGTTCTGTAGTTTCTGCTTCGATAACGTTAAAATAGATTCGCGCCCCGCACTTTAGAGCCGTGGATGCGTTATAAGAGTGACGATAAAGTTGCATTATTCGGTCTGTCTAGAATAACTCAAAATTGGCGGAAGGCGGTATTTTCTAACTGCCTCCTCTTTAGTCTCCCATTCAAAATAAGGGATGACTAACAGAGATAGCCTTTGTGTAGCTTTGCGTGAAATATTACAAAGCAACAAAACCTTTAACTAATGTACAAAACTGGTACAATCATACAAAGCAACCAAACCTTCAACTAATGTACAAAACTGGTACAAAATAAGGTTGGTATAAACGTACAAGTAGTGGGAGAATTATACAATCCATAGCTTTGCGTGAAATATTACAAAGCAACAAAACCTTCAACTAATGTACAAAACTGGTACAAAATAAGGTTGGTATAAACGTACAAGTAGTGGGAGAATTATACAACCTATAGCTTTGCGTGAAATCTTACAAACCAACAAAACCTTTAACTAATGTACAAAACTGGTACAAAATAATTTTTGTTATAAACGTATGTATATAGGTTCTGTTTTTTTTTGTTTGTTTTTTTTGCCATTGTAGAAATAAATGGCTTTACTTAATATTTCTTAATAGTATAAATATATACTATGTAGTTGTTGGGCTTAGGATTCTTCTACAGCAGGTGTCCGTGACTTGTTAGCGACAAATTCAACGATGGATAAACAGCACACACTTTACTTGTTTTCAAATAACATATATATATTTGGAACAAGTTAAATGTATGTACAATAAAGTATTCACACTATAGAGAAGATAAGCATATCATAAACGTTATATCAGCATATGTATAGTTCTCCTCTTTTTGTCAAAAGTCCATTTAGACCTGTTCAATTACTTTAGAATCTCAGTTAACAACCGAACTATTTTCTCTAGCACTATCGCAATATTAGTCTGGTATGATTCACTTAAGTTACGATTGTGGTCTTCTTTCTCTGAAGATCCTATGATCCTTTTGTCAAAGGGCACTCAGGCTGATTCAATTACTTTAGAATTTCGCTTTGACGGAATAAACTTATTTTTTCTTATTTCCTTTTCCACTGTTAGTTTCATTCTAATATATATATATATATCAAACGTTAGGCCTATCACTTTTACGTTACTTAACTTCACACCAACTATATTCTCTTTGCTTTTATCTGTCTAATACTGTCTGTCTGCTGCTTTCCGCTCGTCTCAAGCTATTTATATCTTTATTACATAGTCGTCTGGCCACTTTCTATATTCTCGACACCAATTAATTTTAACAAAACCTTCTACAATCGTCTGCTTTTAACTCTTATTGTAACAAAACTTAAATATAATAAAATATTCACTCACAAGTATAAATTAATCACTAATATTTAAACCAAACAGTCTTTTATATCATGACACATTATATTGCTAGCATTAATTTTAATGACGATAAATAAAGTCCTTCGTCGGTTGATCAATTTGGTATTTCTAGCATTTACATAAAATATTATCTTCTTGAACTTAATTAATTATAATTAGCCGCGACCTATAAAACATTTACGGTAGTTTTCATGCCCTTCGCTTGAATTTTCCTTATTCTATCATTTTCATACAAGCCATTTAAGCTACGCTTTCTTGCAGGCATTATGTGTTAGATCGATAAATCTTGGTCTATTTGCAAAAACTTTACGCGAGCAGATAGACAAACGCGCGTAAACGTAACTTTATTTAATAAAACTACACGTAAATTAAACAATAAAATATAGTAATGGTATTTATGATATAGTATCGAACAGTTATGAGCGTTCAGTGTATGACACGGGTTTTACGAGATGAAACAAAGAAGCTCACAGAATCGATGAATAAAACCTACAGTAAAGGAAAAGTAGCTAAAAGGTGTTTATAGCAATCTATGAAACGAACCGAAGCTAAATTATTGCAAAGTAAAGTAAATGTAAAGTTGTAATGACGGCAAATGTGGCTGGGTATGCAGAAACGTCTGAATGCGAGTTCACAAAGTGATAAGCATATGGTTTTGAATGAACTAGGCATGCAAGTAAAAAAAAAACTAGAGTTGAAATCGAAGCCAGTTGTCACGTGATGATAACGACATTGTGCCATCGTGTACCATATTCGTTCCATTAAAAAGTTTGACTAAACAAAACACAGGTAAGGTGATTCTAAATGGAAAAGCCAATATTCAATCCGGACTTCTCGGACAAAGCCACACAAAGGCCTTTCTAACGATATGAGATTTGTAGCGTTTGATCGAGAAATTTACGAGAAAAGTTTCGGATACACAAACGCAAGCGTATTATTTATATAGATTTTAACAAATATAATAGCTATTGGCTCAACCACTCTTTAATATTACCTCAAATATGCTGCTCCTTTCCTTTTTTAACAGTATGAATTTATAGACTACTGGGTGCTTCAAAAGTCACTTTTTGTGTTCAGACGTCTGTGTTGAGGGAACTAATGGACACAATGTTCTGAAACTCAATGTGTAGACCAATTCGAGAAACAACATACACAGTCGTTGGAAATGACAACTATCACCAATGGAAACGATATTAAACAACTGTTATAAAAACGCACTATATCTGTGAACCATAGGTACCACGTAGTGTGACCACGTGTCATTATTACGCACAACACACACGTCTATGTACGCTGTCTTCCGTTTGCTATCTGGTCTACACATCGAGTTTCAGAACATGAGGTTCATTGGTTTCATTATCGCAGTCTTCTGAACAGCGGAAGTGATATTTGAAACACCACATATATTTTTTGAATTATTTTTAGTTTTACTTATCTTTATTTTCAAATATCAGCATGTTATAATACATTTTGTTAAATCTTTGACAAATTTTGTAAGTCTTTATTGGTTACTTGAGTAAACACGTGTTTGTGAAAAAAATGTAGCCTTAACCAGTTTGATCTTAACAGGATAATTTCAGTTAATCACGAAATGATTTAGTTACCAAAGATTAACATATTGTTAAAAATCGTATTAGAACTATGTATCTAAAAATCAGTATTGTATCAGAAAAACGAGGTTTCAGAGTTTATCAATCGTAAACCAGGTATTGAACGATACTTGAGAATATTTCAAACAGCTTAACGTACATGAAAAGTATAGTAAGATACCATTCCTTTTGTTTTTTCTGGATTTATTTACGTAACTTAGCTAGTTTTAAACCTCAATAAGTCTGAACTTTGACATTTCCATGAACACTGTGTTATTACGTTGCTCTTTCTTCTCTGTTGCTGGTGTCACAGCGGTCCAGAATGAAAGACAACCACGCAATACAGCCACCATCCGGCCCGAGGCTCTGGTAGAGATGAACAATGAACGCTTATTCAGAGAGGGTATGGCAGCAACAGTGGCAGTGGGAGTTTTCCCTCCTACTCTCACTACATCGCTCTCCGGATCCTGCATAACCCCACACTCTGTCTCCGGTGAGTGTTGTAGGCTTGTGGGTGAGAAGGGAAAGAATGGTAACGAATCTAAATACCTGTCTGCTTCAATACTTACACACACTTCCATTTTTATCACTGGAAAAAACAAAAACAAACTTTAAAATTCGTGCAACTCACCAACTGGCCCATAGGTTAATCAAGATATTGTAAAAAAATAATAAAAAAATTAGCAGGTTTGTTGAAAAGAAAGAAAAGTTACTGTAATCCAGCTGTTATGAAACATTACGACTTTCGCATACCATAAACAACTTACGACTTTAAGTTACGGCGAAATTATGAGTCAAGTTATACGCACGTTTATCCATATGTCACAGAGTTTTGCTTCTAAATTGATGACGTAGCCATCTTTTCTTTTATTGACAAAGCACTACATTTATAAGCTTTAAACGTATAGAAAAAATCACATTTCAAAGCAAAATGATTATCACCTCGTTTTATATGTAAGTATACTGAAACCTCTCAAAGTTGCAGAATATTAAATAGCGAAGTCTAAGATTATTTCCCTAAGCAGAAATAATAAACTGAAATAGCTCGATTTCATCATTTCGATACATTTCATGTCAGCAATTTTATTATAAACCTTTATAGTTTGTGCTTTGAATTAATTTAAAGAATTTTTCACATTCAAAACAGGGTTATTTTCATAGTTTCACAAACGGGACTTATGTACCTACATATGAAACACTCTCAGAACAAAACTTTACACAATGTATTTTGTTATTAAATACGTTGATGACTGAAATTCGTGAATATCGGTTTAGTCTTTAGCTGTTTTTAAATTACGCTCAAACATTTTATGAAGAAGATATAAATAATAAGTTGTTTAACCTATATAGACCCACTGTCTTGAAGTGAAAGCGGATCTTCTATTTTCATAAATACAACGTCAATGAACGAAAACAAATTTCCTCTCAATAAATAAAACTTATTTAGGCGATCGAAAAATCACCCAATGTGTAAACCTGTCAAAAAATATTTTCTTTCCATTTCATCATTTCAAGTAACCTTTTTTATCACAAATTACAAGTTTTAGAAATATCTTTAAAGCAAATGATTAACGATTAATTTAAAAAATGAGACATTGTATAAGAATCGTAAGTATATTGCAAACTAATGTTGAAACTGGTTTGATCTCATTATGACGTAACAAAACTTTAAAATGATAAAATATGGCTTTATGTGATCATTCTTCTAACGACGTGCCCGTTTTTTCAAACAAACTTGGGACCAAGTTCAATATCCACTTTGATAGCAACAAGAACGTATTTTGTTGTTTTCTGTAAATAATAGAAACATACAATAAGGATACTGACATAAAAACCAGACATAACAGGACGAAATGTAAAACCCAAAGAATGTTAAACAGAACCTATGCACATAGTCGTCACTAGTCCAGTAGATTAACTCACTGTGATTCTACAACTAAAAAAATTCTATGGCTACACGTTGATTAAACTGTCCAAAACTAGAAGATAGTTCATAATGGGAGTTTTGAATTGTAGTTGCTTGCTCATATCGAATTAACATAATTCGTAGATTTAAGTCTTGAAACGATGGGCTATTCCACTACCCTAAATGATTGATTACCGAACTAGTACTCATAATATTCTACATACAGTCTCTTTGTGACAGTAATCTGGCTAGTTTAGGTACAAAAGCTGAGTTAGGTACCAATATTAACGCCATTTTATTTTATTTTTTACAATGTATGAGTTTTTCTGGAAGATATGTTGTTGTTTTTTCTAATGAAACACTTTCAGGCCACATTTGCATTGAATTAATTGAAGTTATTTGTATACTCTTTAGAATCTAGCTTGAAATTCCATAAACGTGTAAAACCGAATTCGTTGCCTTTCAGAATCTTTGGCATTTTTCATGTTAATGGTGCGTACAGATCAACTCTGTCTTGTATTTTAATTTAAGTTAATCAAGTGTTCCAAAGTTGACGTGTTATTAAGTTGCAGCTTGATAATATTTCTTACCAGACGAATCTTTGACCGAAAACCGTAGAGAAGAAACAACCAGGCCCAGCGCCCTCAGCGTAGCTACGGTAGCATCAACTACGTCCTCGTACAGCGACGTTCCACTCTACACGTGTCCGACTCCTGGCCAAGAAACGATATACGAAACTTCAGCACGTTTGCTCTTTGTGGCAGTAAAATGGGCCAAAAATCTTCCTTCATTTGCCAACATACCGTTTCGAGATCAGGTTAAGTGGTGTTTACTTAATGAAATATATATAAATACCTCGCGTGTGTGTATAAAAGTCTTTTATAATACTCTTTTTTTTATAAATAACTTTATAATATTATAATACTTATAATTTTAAATTCAGTTTATTTCTAACTTCGCACAATACAAAATTATATGAATTTAGATTCACCTATAAACAAATTTTGTAGAGCGAAAGAACGTGGTTGTATATCATTAGATAAAAATATGTCCTTCTTGAAACAAAATTTAATCAATGAAGTAATTTGTGAAGTTTAATGGATTTCAGATGTGTATAATATATATATATATTACAGATAGATATATAGATAATCTGTTCCTAATCGGATTTAAAAAATAACAACATAATTCAGTATGTTTGTTAGTATATACACCAAACGTTTATTTTAAAGATATATATGAAAGCAGTAAAATGTTTTACCGCAAGATCCAAAATATTTTAATTTTATTCCTAATGCTTAAAAAAAATGATGAAAATGTTGTTCTTGAACCTACGTGTTTTTCTAACATTAAGAACTAAATGTTTGATATTTGCTGTCCCACAGGTTATTCTCTTGGAAGAGTCATGGGCGGAGCTTTTCCTTCTGTGTGCCATTCAGTGGTGCATGCCCCTCGAGCATAGCCCGCTTTTCACGTCCAGCGAGCACGTGCATGCAGGCTTGCCCAATGGGAAGGCAGCACTAACATTGGCGGATTTACGCACGCTGCAAGAAGTGATGTCAAGATTCAAAGCGATTGGAGTAGATCCTGCAGAATTTGCTTGCTTGAAAGCAATAGTTCTTTTCAAGACAGGTAAATGAAAAGCGATGAATTTCTTCTTGTTCTGGATTAAATTTGATCCTACGAGATCAGTCGCTTAGAATGTTTATATAACTTCTCAATCAAGGGAAGTTATTCAAAGAACAGGTTGTGTGATGTAAACTAAGTGTATGTGTACGTTTTTTATTTTCAGATTACTCACAGGGTTCGTATACACTTTGGTCAAAAACGAATTCCATGACTTTCCATGATCATTTATTTTTTAATGTCCATGACATTTTCACCACCAACTAGAACTATTGTTCACTTGCATATTCTGCAGTAACTTTTACCATGACAATCCATTACAAGAACTAAGATTCATAAAAATTCCCCGACATTCCAGGTTTTGAAAACATATTTTATTTTTGTCTGACTTTCCAGAAATTTCATGACCCGTACGAGCCCGATATTCAGCCATGCACGCGTTAGACGTTTATACAACAGAGCTAGTTCATAAAAAAAAAGACTTCTTGGTATTGCTCCACTCTATAAAAACATGAAACCTCTAACATCGCTTAGGTCACAATTAATTGTAATTATTTTAAAGATTCACATAAACTTAGATATTTGTTTTAAGAATATAAGTTTCCAATTTTAAAAACGTCTCTTGCTTGTTACGTGAGTAGATTTGCATTAACTGCATTTTTCATTTCTTTATTCTTTATTTACCTATTTCTAAACTTTCTATTGTATCTAATCATATTTTGTGAAAGGCGTTTTGTAAATTAAATTAAAATAACTTTAGTAATTTTTTAAATAACCTTCCTCTCATCCTTAATAGATTAGCTGAGAAAATCACATCAGTGGGGAATGGGAAAAGACAAGTTAATTGGATTTTAGTATGGTTGCATGAGAGAAAGCAAAGAGTTGTTATTAATGGAATCCAGTCAAACTAGGTCTTTATTATTGGTGGTGTGTCTCAAAGGTTAGGGCATAATTATTAAAGTTTGCTGATGACATTAAACTCTCTGGTATTTTTAGCTGTTTTGATGATCTTGGGATACTACAGAATGAATCAACTGGTTAACTGGAAAGATATTTGGCAAATGGCCTTTAGTTATAAGAAGTGCAAGATGATGCATTTGAACTATCATAATTTTGTATCATGTTTAATATAGATAGAAACTCTTTGATTAAGGTGACTGAAGAAATAGATCTTGGCTTTGTGGTGGATAAGTCACTCAAGTCATTGAGCAGGGATTTTTGCTATTAGCAAAGCTAACAGAATTTTAGGGTATATTTGTAATCAGAAGAGATATAATCTCTGTACACAAATCACTAGTTAGCCTCACTTAGCATACTGTGTGCAGTTTTGTTCTCCTTATCTTAGAGAGGATATTTACTTACTGGAGAGGATTCACAGGAAGATGAATTCCGGAATGAAAGGATTAGTTTGTGGAGGATAGGTTAAGATATCTTAACTTATTTTCTATTGAGGAAAATAAAGATAAGAAGTAATATCATTGAAGTTTATAAAATTATTCGGGGGATCGATAGAATAAAGGCTGTATTCTAGGCACAATAAAACTAGAGCCCACACGTTTAAGATTTGGTAAAGTCAGATTAGGCTTCTATTAAGACAGTTTTATATTTCTAACAGGGTGATTAGCTTAAATAATAAATTTTATTCGACAACAATAGACTAATGGTGCAGATAATGATAATTTCCTGAAAAAAAACGGGTTTAAGTTTTTACTTTTATCGAAGATGTGTGTACAGGAACAGTCTTG